GTGACACGCGCTTATGTAAACATGATCGATCATGCTGATAAAAATAAAAGAAATTTATCTCTTCATAAAACAATATTATAAAGCAAGTCCAACATTCAATCATTTTCCATCAGAACGGTGACGATTTCACAGTGAAAAAAAAACATGTTGAATGTGTCTATCTATGTTTTGCTCTCGTTATTAATCGTAAGTGTGTCTTCTTACCGTCTTATTAATAATAACACATTGACAGAAGAAAAATTTACCTACAAAGATGTAGTTACTGCAATGGTAAGATAAATTTCCGAAAAAGTATTTAAAATGTTGGTCAGATCTTAGATTATATTCTGAATAAATTATTTATATTATATGTACATAGTAATAAGCAAAAGTTTCCACTAAATAGATTTTTAAGTGAAGATATAAAAAAATTTTAACTAATATTGAGCATAAGAATATCCTTGAAAAAATAGTATTAAAAAAATGATCACTATTTGTTATTATTTATATGCGTTTATTTAAAGGATTACTAAAAATTTGTTCAAACTCTCCAATAAAGAGCATAGTTTTATATATTATGTTTCCTAAATGTTTGTAGAATATTAGATATGTTTAGGAATAAAACCAATAGGCGCTTTGAAAGTTTTCGGCCAGCTTAATTGTTTTACAAGAAAATTGTTTTACAAGAAAAATAAACATAGTACTTAAAATTTTGTAATGTTTTAATTCATATTTATTATTAACCCAGATAGTAACGTGTTTGTCTTGTTACTTGCTAAATATGCATTGTTAAGTATATCAAGCTATCAGAATTGTAGCAACTGAGTTCTCATATGTTGACAACTTGATGATATGCCAGGAATTTCCGACAACTTTAAAATCGTCATCATCAAAATTCATACTACTACCATCATGTTGCCATAATAATATACAACATCATACAATGCTGTCATATTGCTGACAATTCAACATTGATGCAGCTATCTTGCTGTTAAATTGCTGGCAATACATATACACATTGTTGCCTGCATGTATAATCAGTCGGTATATTGAAAATAGTTGAAGACAAATCTATGGCAAGTTGCCAGCATTATAAACAATCACAAATTTGTACGATTTTGCTTTACTATCTGGGAATAATTTTGCAACAATAATAGTGATACAATAACGAGGTATAAATTTAATTAAACGCGTTATATAATTATGGGAATTTATTCTTTTGTCGAAATTTATAATAATTCAGTTTTATTTAAATTTGTATACTTGCAAATTTAATGTTTTAATTCTCTCTCAGCTCGATTGAATTCAAAGCCGGAAGTTAAGAAGAGCAGTTTAAGACTTTTATATAATTAGTTAAACTATTTGAAAGTAATCATTCTGACTTTAAAACATATTTAGTATCATTATTGTGCTGAAATATTCAATTTTATAACATTTTTTTTAGTATACTAGTAAATGAGTTTTTAAGATTTTTATACATTATAAATACCCTAAATTTATAAAAGTGGATTCCTTCAGCTAATTCAGTAATTCTTTAAATGAATACATATCCAGTAATAAATAATGTTTATTTTTTATATTATTTTTAAAACAATATATATTTTCAAAAAGATTATATATACTTCACACTGGGACACTTTGATTTTCACATATAATTATCGACAATTTTGAATCATACGCACTGTAAGTTTTGTTAGAAACACTTCTGATATACCTTTAAAGTTTTCTACTTTTTAAACTTAAAAATGTATAATATATTTTAAGTATAACGTAAGTAGATGTATTTGATTTAATTATCGATTTTAATAATCTTAACTAGAAATTCTCCTAGAAGATATGAGTTTGGACACGATCTATAGTTTTGTTTTTTTTGCAGAGTTATAATTTTAATAAAATAAAAAATTTGCGAGAAAAAGACAAACATTTACTATTTCTTTCTTTTTTCCATTCTATTTTATCTTTTTCTTCTCTCTCTCTCTCTCTCTCTCTCTCTCTCTCTCTCTCTCAGGAATTATTAAAACTTAACGGACTAATAAAAAATGACTTTATTTTTTTATTATATGTCCCAACTCTTATTACAGGATTGCCATAGACCTGAAAAACCGGGAAAAGTTAGGAAAAAATGTAAAAAAAGTCCAGAATTTTGAAATTTATTTACAATTTTCTTAAACTGTTCCTATTTCAAATAATTGTTATAATTTTTTAAATATTATATCTGACATTTATATTTATAATCAAATACGTTCAAAACTTTATTTAAACAATTTTAATAAAATAATTAATATTTATATTATATTTTATATTATATTATATTCAATATTTTTATTTGATCCTTCTTTTTCGTCATAACTGCATTCTTTTTTCCAAAACTATTTTTTGCTGGCTTAAATTTGCATTCAAAATTTTACTATATTACCAGCTTTTTTTGCGTTGTTTTTAATAATATAGTTTTCCTATACAATCCTTGAATATGTTAAAATTTATATATTTTATATTAGATTAGATTTTATATCATGGAAAATTTTCCATTTTCATCTGGAAAAATCAGGGAATTTTAAAATTCATTTTTTGTGGCAACCCTGTGTTAGAGGATCTCTAATCTTGACAAATGTCCGTATATAGACGGGAAAAAGACTTTGCTCACACCACTCTGCATACAATGCGAAGAAGAGTCTTTCATTATACAATTCTAAATGTATCAATTCATTCTTTTTTCTTTCCACACGAAGCATAATTTATCCTACACAGCCTTCCGTTTATATTGCAAAACAAAATCAATATTGCAAAGTATTATACATACGTATAAGCGGGGAGGGGGCTTTGCCTCTTAGGTATGTACATTTGTTAAGGTTAAATTTATTAAAACTGACAATCAAACTATGTAGACATGTTTAGAAACTAGAAAACTTTAAAGTAATATTTCTCAGAAACCAAATGTCTGAAAAATAATTCAAAATACGTGTGATTTAAAATTTTGTGGATTACCTAAAAGTAAAACTGTAAAGTGACATAACCTTTTCGAAAGTTTAATCTTTTTTCATAAATAACCTTTATATACTAATTATAATTCCTTTAGTTTTTGTTTTTTAAGAAAAAATCTTTCTAACCGGAAATTTTTGCATATCACTGTATAATATGCAATAGGCAATCATATTTGTATTTTAAAATAATTCATCAAAATCATTTCTTCTTTTATTAAAAACTGACTGCACCAGTAATGCCGTCTTTTTTTAAGGCACAGTCGATTTTTTTATTGTTAACCTTGAGAAAATAGATAATGGGATTTGCGATATTGCTTCTTAAAAAACTTGTTGTGTATGTACAAGGATCAATTGGAAAAAGATTGTGTATGTACATACAAGGATCAATTGGAAAAAAATTTTTAAATTCATTCATATTACTGTTATGAATTTTTAACTAATATTATATATTTTTAGAACTCTTATTCGTATTTAAATGTGTAAAAATAAGTAAAATACAATTCGGCTTCAATTATGATAAAAGTTTATTAATGATTTTAAAAATATACAAAATTTTTTTAGACTTTAGATAGTCGTAAACAATAAAAAAATCTACTGCGGACCTCAACGATCCGAGTTACAGATAACGATGATGAAAAATTTTACATTGCCGGTGAAAAGTTAAGGATACAAAAGCGTTCAATTAAAAACTTTCTACGTAACTTTCTTTTTTATAGAGGAGTCGTATTAATTTCGTAGGTCACAATTCTATATCGATGTCATCTAAAAGAATCAGAACTAACTTTACTATTAGGTGGAGATTATAATGAATTTCTTAAACAAGCGTTCTTTGCTGGAATACCAGTAGCTTTAATAGGGGAGACAAGTCCTCAAAAAAACGCCCTGAAAAAGTTCACTTTAACAAGATATTCTTTCAAGATGTATGTGAGTTACAACTTCATCCATTTTCTTCGGAAATCGCACAACTTCGTATTAGTGGCATCTTCCAAACCCATATTGCAATCCATTTTACAGGTAAAAATAATATATTTATGATATAAAACTATTTTTAAATTCTTATAGAAATGTTATACACATCTTTTCGAAACGGTCTGTCTAAAAAGTTCCGCGACTGCTATAAGGAGAGAATTTTTTTTTAGAGTTTACCCTGAAAATATGATAGTCGTGGGACAATATTATATTTGGAAGAATTTTAATGTAAATCTCTCTCATTAATAAAACTACAATGTGATACAAAATAAGTTTGATTAATTTTACTGAAGTGCATTATAAAAATCTTTGAAATATTGTAAATTTGTATCACAACTACTATATTTTCAAGGTAAATTTTTAAAAAAAATTCTCTCCGTGGGATTTAAAAAATCGAAAAAAATTGAAAAAAATTTGTTTTATTTTTACATAGTCCTACATAGTCTTCTTATAACTTAAAACATTGATTATAATATTCAATTTATAATTTTTGGAAACATTTTTATAGGCTTTTTTTGAAATTCTCTTTAATTTTCGCATTCACATTAGTTTAGATATTCTCTAAATCATCGTTCTTTCTTTATGTAATTACTTGAGTTAAGGAAACAGAAAAAAGGCAAACGGAGCTAAATCAAATAATATGTATATAAATCAAATAAACTATGAAGGATGAAGCACAAGAATTTGTTTTCATGCTAAAAATTGGATCACAATTTCAATCGTGTCGCGCAGCAAAAAATCTCTTTCCTTCCATTGATTTTTACAAAAGGATTCAATGTGTTCGACCAGATCATTAGAAGGAAAAAGATTTTTTTTGCTACACAACACGCCCGCCTACACAGCTCGAATTGTAATCCAATTTTTAACATGAAAATAAATTCCTGTATATAAAATATTGTATTAATTCTATATAAGTATTTGATCGATATCTAGATTTTCTTGTTGGAAGCAAATCTTTCTCTAAAAATTTAACTTTTTTCATAAGAATATTAATCTTACGAAGGAATACTCTTTGAAGAACTGTGGCTGGATCATTTTTAATGATCTTTGTTGGATAACCAATAGAGATCATAAATTGTTCCACATAAAATATAGTACTCAAAACAACAATAAAAAACAGTTTTTGGGTTTGATTTTTTAGATCTTTGCAATAAAAAAATATATACGAGTAATCTTCAAAAACTAATGAATATCCATTAATTAGAGACTCAAAATACTTTGGGTCTAAAGTGATTCTGCTAGCAATCGAAGGTTAATCAGCTTTGTTTCTAAGTAAAATAATATAATAATTTCGTCGTATCATTCATTACAGAGAACAAAAGATTCACCGTGGGCGAATCCGGAAGGATTTTATATTATAGTTGATAAAGAAACTGAAACACGAGGTTGTATAAACGCTCGTTTATTTCTCTGGACGGCATGGAAATATGACTTGCTCTCTGTTATATTTCCATGCATCGATCCACACGAAGGAATTGTGTATTACACATTTAATCCGTATTCTAACAGTACGCCAACCGATTGGAATGAAGTAGGCCGCATAAAAGGACGAGAGGGCCATCCTTGGATAATGTTGAAAAGAAAATTTGAAAAGGGTAACTTCTTTATGTCTGATGAAACACATTATAAACGAATTAATTTTTGAATCTCCTAATATAAAAGGAAATTTTATCTTTATTTATATTACATGAATTTTATTTAAAAAATTCTTTAATTCTTAAAATATTACGTTGTCCTATAATATATTGTTAATTACATTCGAGTGTTACGAACATATATTAAATAATTCATATAATGATTTGAAATTTTAATTAAATTTAAAAAGACTTAAAATTTTACAATGTTAGAAAAAATAATTATAGCATCATAAGATCTAATACATGTTTCCAAATATATATATTGAAAAATAAACTTTATTAGAATTAATTAAAAGCTAAAAAACAATAAATGTTCCAAGACAAAAAACTAGTAATATTGTTTGCACTATTCTGCATTTTGAAGCACAAGCCATTTTTAAAAAATTTATACGACATTGTGTTTTCTTTAGAAACAGAGATGTGCAAAAATCTGAATTTCGATAAAACGATAACTCTGCAAGGCTATAAGATCCGATTAAACGCCGTCGAAATGGAACCATATATAAAAATCGATTCGAGTTTATCGGATGAAGAGAAATTTCGCGGCGATAATAGCGAAATCATCAAGATATTATTACACAAATTAAAAGCGTCTCTGTCAATCAAGATTTATAATGGCAGTATCTACGGACTCGGCGGTATAGGACCGAATGGTACTCTAGAGGGTTTGATGGCTCCTTTGAGCGATGGCAAAATAGACATGGGCATGAATACGAGACATTTGTTTATATTGTGGAAAGTCAGGTAAGACAATAATAAATGAATTAGAGGAAGATCTAAAAGAGAATGTTAAGTTAGGGCCGCTTTTCGGCCAAAAAGTTCCGAGGTGTACAAATTATACATCGTATTAAATAGCTTAAGTAAAGTCGAATAGTACATCGCTTATCTTGGAGAAATATCAGAAACATGGAAGAAATCGTGATCAAAACAAATAAATCATTTATATTTCATTATTTGTATTATCACATTTATTGAACAAATTAGAAAAAGTAAGATAAGAATTGAGTAAGGATTGCATTATTTACAAAAGCTTCTTTTTGAGAAGAAAAATTCTGCAAGCTATACAATTTGACGTCATAATTGTATAACGCAATAAGATATAACTATTGTATATTCACTGTAGAACAACTTTGTTATAATATATCTATACGTATACCAAAGGCGTAGTAGGAATAGAATACGCAGGCATATTACAAGACGTTTTTAACGCTTGTGGAATCATTTTATCTTTATTGTTTAACAAAATAAGAACAAAATGATAGTTGCAAGCATTACGAGTGTCAATTGGAACGCAACTCTAATAAAATATGAAAAGCGACATTATTGTTTTTTTTAAATACTTTCCATATGCATTACTGTCCTGAAAAAATGTATAATATTTATTGAAAAAATTCCATGTAATCACTTTTTCATAATCATTCTCAGAATCTCAAAGGCGAATTTTCCTATGATTTTGATGTTTCCCAAGATAAACAATATACCATTCTAATCCGCTTGAGTAGCTCTTTGATATATAATTTATATATCTCGGAACTTTTTTATTTTGGCCGAAAAACTTTTTTATTTGATCCTGTTTTAACGTTCTCCTTTGATTTTTCTTTATCATTTGAATAAGAAATGTCGGTTTTTATGAATTCGAATCTAGAACTCTATTAAGTCAAGTTTACGAGAAGATAGGGACAAAATTTTTAAAATTTTATAGCTGACAATCATCCGGTGCCATTCGATACGCCATCGTAATATAATATCTCATAATAAATATAAAAAATTAATGTAGAATAATATTTAATAAATGAATAATATTAATATAATAATAATAATAATAATAATGAATAACATTTATCTTTCAGATACACATATCCCCATACAAGAACAGGTATCTGTGTGATAGCACAACCACATTCAAAAGTCTCCCAATATACCAAGCTGATAATGTTTATGTCACCAGAAGTGATAGTAGGAATTGTCATAATGTGTCTGTTGGCTTATGTACTATTTATGAAGAGCGAAGGGTACATAAAAGCCAGCTTACAGGTGATAAGACTTATAATCTGCGTGGGAATTCTACATCCACCAAAAATTAATTCCACCAGAATTTTTGTATGCATGATATTGATTCTGTTCCTCAACATAAACGCTTTATTCCAAAGTCACCTGTCGGCATTGCTCACCGTGCCGATTTATTACCGTGATATTGACACTATAGAAAGTCTTAAGGTAATAATAAAGTTTTATTTTATTGTTTTCACATATATGACTACAAATCTAAATATTTATTTTTATTTATATTATTTATATCAACATAAACTAAACGAAAACAGAGTCATCTTTTCCTATCTTTTGTGAGATACGGAGTTCTGTAAAAGAATAGTAAATATCGAATGATATCTTTTTAAATAAAAAAGAAAATTTTGAAATGATTTTAATAGTTTCGTTTTTGTTTTATTACAACTTCAATTGTTTTAAATTTTATTTAATAGACAGATCTCTTTAACACAATAATAAAACTATTTTCCTCTTAAAATAAAATTATTGATGCTTGATAGCACGGCATCACTAATCGATAATACGTGATATATATGTATGTATATTTATTTACACGCTGATACACACACACACACACACACACACACACACACACACACACACACACACACACACACACACACGTGTGTATTAAATATGTGTATTAAATATATTATAATAAGTTTCAACAAGATAATTTAATTGACGCTATTAATATTTTTTTAAATAATGGATATCCTCTACATTTTATTTTCTCGACTATTCGTAATAGAATTAAATTTCATATCAACAATATTTATAATTTGAATAATAATAAGGATAACATAGAAAAATTTTTTACTATTTCACATGTTAATAAAATATCTGAAAGATTTACACCTATTGTTAACATTTAATTGTAAATTGGCTTTTACCCCTAACACATTAAAAAATTTCATAAAAAGAGGAAAGGATAAGCTGGAACATGTACATAATCAAAATGTAGTATTAATAAGTATTAATTTTTTTTGTTCACAGTAACTTTTTAGAGTATTACTTTCTTACTACTTTGATTTCTGATATAATATAATTGACTCGCAACTTACTATACAAAATGAAGAATACGTATTTTAGAATTATAATGATTTATTTTAGATTTATAAGGAATTTTGTAATATTATTTATTTGTTTTATTGTTTTATAGCGATGTTTGAATAAATTTACCGCAACATTGAATAACTCGAGCGGAGTCGAAACGTATGTTTTTGTCCTTTGTTATTATTATATGAATTTTATGATCTAAATTAAAATTCTTTTGCTACTAAAAATATTGGTTCTTCTGCCCTTCTTTTATTGTATCATAATACATTTGATACACATATATATATATATATAAACATATATGTCCAATATAGTACAATATGTTTGATATTTGAATTATATGTCTTTTTACAGAAATCCGGATACATTATATACGGACCGCGTCAATTCAAACTATTATTGAACGATCCTGTACTGGAATCGCGCTATGTGGAAGTCACGTACGAAGAATGCAAGGAACACGTAGAGAATTCGACGAACGCTGTGTGTTTGGGGGACTGTCACCACCTGTACTACAGAATTAAGGATCAAGGCCTTATTAAATCGAGAATACTGGTAGAATTAACAAAATCCTATGTCACTCGCGAAGATTGGCCATTGTACCAACGAGTAAATGATATTATTCGATACATGATGCAGGCCGGCTTAATCATAAAATCTCGAGCTGATTCTGCCATGGAAATTAAACGCGAAAGATTTAAAAATGATACGAAGAAAAAAGGCTTTAAAGTGATGTTGCTGAAACAGCTTGCGTTCAGCTTTTATTTTCTCATCGTGGGATATACTTGCGCCACTATAATTTTCATATTGGAATTGATAATTGGTCAATTGGTTTCTAGATCTGAGAACCAAATAGGAATCAAAAAGAGTACTTTTTGAGGGAAAGAAACTAAAAACTAAACAAACGACGAAATCCCGAAAATTAGCTTGGAATTAAGAAAGCGATTTTATGCAGAATTTATTTGAAGCTTTTTTTTTATAGATTGAATCTTGCGAAAAAAATAGTAAAATGATGTAATGCACACTTCGCAGAATGTTTAACTATTATTAATTATGTGGTGTGATATAGCATCTTCTCTTATTGAATCATTGAAACTTGTATGAAGATAAATATCTTCAAGCGAAATATCTTGCAAGCGAATTTTATTCGGAAAATATAATTCTCATAATATAATTCTCATACATACATCGAAATCACATCTGATTATCTTCCTCCATTGTATTTATTTAGCACTGTCTAATATCTAGTCCAAGTGAGATCTTCAAAATATGATTAAACAAATTTGTAATATAATTAATAATATTATATAATACAATACTATATGAAAGAAGAGAAAATTTATAATATATGAAATAATACATTTAGGAATATTATATTTAAATAAAATAGAAAAGTCGATATATGAAATCAATATATGAAAGAATGTATACTTTATTTTAATAATTATATTCACGTTATATAACAATATAATATTGTGTTGAAAGAATAGACTGTCAAATCATTAATAAAAATAATATTGCATATTTTCATTTCAATTTTCTAAAATATGATATATATATTATATATACCTAAGAACATATTGTTTGAATAAAATCACAAATAAAAATTACAACGCAATAAGCATAAGAATCAATCGACAATTTTCTAAAGAAAAATTGTTGACCTAATTATAAGCTTATTATTGTCATTTATTATTTAGATCTTCTGGCATTTAACAGTAACTTTTTGAAAAATTATTTATTTTGCAGGAGCAAATCCCACTTGATTGTTTCTCATATCGAACTCCGTATAGTACCGACGAAGAAATACATTACCCAAAATCCATGTTGGACTGTTCTCATACAAAACTGTATCTATAAAGGCGCTTGTACATATAGTATGATTATATCGTTTGAGCTATAACAAATTGAATGCCGCATAATGTTTCTATTCTAAAACATTTTACAATTTCACGATATTTACCTTAATAATATAATCTTCACTAGTAAGTTCAAATGATTTACCACCTAGGTCGAAGTAGATACTGGGCAAATTATAAATCTTGTTACAGTCCACCTTTAAACGAAGCTTAATGTTAGTAAATATTTATTAGTATATTTTAGTAATTTATTTAACATTGTTGTAAAAGAACCATTGCAGAGTTATCTATTATTTACAATTGTTACTCCATTAATTTCAAGTCCTATGTATCTGTTAATAGCTTCGATTTCTATTGACGGTCCAATTATCTGGGAAGTGCTCGTGTCGATGATAGCTTCACAGTGCAAACAGATGGTGCTATGTCTTATATAAATTCTAAAATATGATAGCATTAACAAATAGCTGGCATATAATCCGCGGTTGACATACTTTAGAAAACAATAATGTACCGATTTATTATAAAGTGCCAGTATCCATCAGTGGTAACAGGAACATAGGTAAGCTCGCCATTGTAAAGATCGGGGTCAGAGCCACCAATTATTAATTCACTATCAACTAGTGAAGAATATCTGTATAGATTATATATTTTTTAATATAAAAGGGCAATAATATTTTCTAATATAGAAAGACCACTTATTTAAGTAAAAAACTTTTAGATACGCATGGTGCGCGCGCGCGCACAACGTGCACACGCGCGCACGCACGCACACACACACACACACACACACACACACACACACACACACAGAAATACATGCCGCTTTAAATAGAAACTAAAAACGGATTTCGATAACAAATTTTGTTGATTCATGTTTGTAAGGACAGGAATTGTTCCTTCAGCAGTTCTTATGGGATAACACATTCCTAAGATACCATCGTACTTCATCAAATGAGAGCTATATCGCTGTATCCTTGTTGCTTCTACAAATATTTGATGTGGAACGTCAAGACCAGCAATCTACACAAAATTGATATTTTTTTTTAAAAGGAAATTTTTGTAGATTATAATTGAAATGAAATCGAACTACTTTATGACTCACATTCACTGTATCACCAGATAAATATCCAGATAGATCACCATCATTGTATTCAATGTCCACTGGAGTATCATCTTGTACATATGTGTCCGATTTAGTTCCATCATATTTATTATATTTATCTATAAAAAATAAATCGTTAAACTATATTATTGTTAATACAACAAGTTCCAAAAATTCCAAAAATTAATATCTCTTTGTTCATTTAAATATATGTATATTTAACGATAGTTTCAATCAAATATAACTATATTTATATTTTTTGCTACAATGCATGAATTGTATTATCATTTGTAATATCATTTGTATCTTTAGAATAAGCGTGATATATATAATAAACTGTATGTAAATGTGAAACTTATTTCTACAATATTTATTTACTCAGTGACTTTAAAATGTGAAACTTTAAAAATTTAAATTTTAAACATTTTAAAAATAATTTAAAAAATTTAACTTAAAGTATGTATGGAAGAGACATAATTCTATTACATTATCCCTATTACACTTCTTACTTACATCAATCAATAAAATAAAAAAGTAATTAAAATTATTTTCATATGTGTGAAAACTATAATATTATTAAATAATTATTTTTATTATAATTATTAAATAATTATAATATTATTTGTATAAATAATATAATTATAAACAATATGTCAAAGAAATAAATAACGATGTATAATACGTACAGCAAGTAGAAAAATCACAATTTATAGATGGTACCCAGAAATGTGGAGAACTAGTGGCAAAAAGTACTTTAAATTTCTGTGGTGGAGTTCCTATTGAGATAATGCCATAGTATGCAAAATCTATATCATGAATCAAATATTCTTTTATAACGGTAAAAACCGAACGACTCCGTCGATGATCGATGCCAATCGATCTTCCAGTAAAATTTATTTCATGTAGCGGAATTCTTGAAGCAACATAAAGAAAACTCAATTATATTATATGTATACATGTACCATACATACATGAATATACGAATACCGTATAACGTATGTAGAACTTTCAAACAAATCGATTGGTTATCTTCAAATATTTTTTATTTTTAAAACTAATAAAACCACAACACACATATATTTTGGTATTAAGAAATAAATATTATATGTTTATTTATATATGATGTTTAGCTATTTTAGCCCGGATTTACAATGAGTTTTTAAGTCTTAAGAACAAGAAATGGATGAATCATAGTGAATAATTCTCCTGGCATTCAACTGTAATTGGTCAATTGCTTACGCTTTAAGACTTAAGACTTTATTGTAGATCCAGATTTAAATTCGAATTGCTTTTTCATAACGTTAATATTATTCAAGACATGATGATAAAAATGCAAGTCTCAAAGGAATCTTTAGATAAATTTCATGATAAAATATAATAATAAAGATTCAATTGAGATAAAGCCCAAAGAAAAGAAAGAATTTTCGTGATTATCTCGCAATTTATTTTTATAACACATCTCCTAACCGAACAATTTTGTCGATGATCGATGTCAATTGATCTTCGAATAGAGTTTATCTCGTACAGCGGATTTCTTGAAGTATCAAAAAAATTTAATTATATTATACGTATATATGTATCATATATTCGAATGTATAATATACGAATATATGATACGAATATCATAAAGAAAAAAATATTATAAAATACATGTTACGTATGTACAACTTTCAAATAAATTTATTATTTTCAAACATCACTTAATTGTTACAATCGCAACATTTTAGTTTATTAAGAAATAAATGTCATCCGTTTATCTATTTACGTATCGTATGCTATTTAGCTATTTTAAATGGAAATTGTTTCTTTCGTGACACTAATATTAATTAAGACATGATATATAAAGAAGATAAGAATATGATTCTCAAAGAAATTCTTCAGAAGCATTTCTTTACTCTGATAGTGCGTGTTTTCTATAAATTTATTTTAATTATTGTTGAAGTATTTTCGCTCACCTTTGCAATTCTGCGTTGATCAACACAGAAAGTATCGCTACCGCCACGAAAAGTTGAAACATGTTTCTCAAATTGCCTGAGCTACATAACAAGAAGATTCTAGGAACGTAATAATTCTCTTTCGAATCTATCCACAACGTTCGGTTTATATGATATACTGAAGTACGTGTTTGTGTTTACGAGTTTAAGAGGGCGAGAAGGATAACAGAGAGAACGCTTAAAGAGTTCTAAGGCAATCCAATGCGTCAATTTTACAAATAATGCTTCGAGATTGGTTGATGCAAGAAGCTTGCGATTCATGTTCTGTGTCTTATGTAAATTTATAACAGCTTTATTCGGAATTCTTATGTTAATATATTTTGGATTAAAATTATCAAAAATTTGATTAAATTATCAGAAACTACCATATATTATTTCATTATAATGTCTTTATATAGTTGAAATGAATGTTAAACTATCCCTACTTGAATCGCACTATGTGGCAGTCACATACGAAGAGTATACAAGTGTGTATAAAATGACTTCAATATGTGTGTAATTAGTTTTTCGCATAAAAATAATACACTATGCATGTAAAAATAGATTTACATATTTAAATGCGTAGTATAGTGTCATTTTTACACGAAAAATTAAATTACATACATATATTAAAGTCACTTTGGTAAATGTAGACAATAATGAAAACTCAGATTCTCTTGATCTTGACATATGTCCCTGAGTGATCTCCAATAGGTTTTAGCCGTTGCTTGTCCTTCGTTAAAAAGTTATTAACAAAAAATATTTTTAAAATATCGTTTTATTTTTATTCAAGGTACATGATCTTGATAACATATGTGCTTAAATACTCTACTAGTTTTTATATGCATCAAAATAATTCTTTTATTATCTTCTTTCTCGTATTTAATTTAACATTATCTATAATGGTATTTAGTTGATGTAAATTTTTTAAATACACGTGTTTAAAGTACAAATTATAATATTAATAATAAAAACATCAAGAACGGAAATACTAGTATAAAGATAAGTATTTGTAATATACAATATGTAATATAAAATATCTTTTATGATATTTAAATAAAATTGAAAGGTCGGGGTATATGAAATCTACATACAATATCTGTGATAAAAATATATATTTTATTATAACAAATATCGTTAAACTCATAATATCATGTATCAATAGGATGCTAAAAAAAATATGTACTAAATTATTGATAAAAATAATATTATATACTTTTTTAAATTTTCTAAAATACCACATACATATTTATTTAAGAATGTAATAGATAATTACAAATAACAATCATAAGATAATAAGTATAGAAATCAATGTTCTATAAAATTTATCTTAATTTGCTTATTGTTATCATTTAAATTTTTCAACATTCATTTGTATAAAACTCTGAAAAAATATGAACGTCTGTATTCGTGAATTCCAATTCAATAGTTCTCCATATCAAATTCGGTATAGTCCCGATAGTATCGATAGTTCGATGTAGTATCGATAAAGAAATACATTGCCCAAAATCCACATCAATTTTTTTATATATATGTTCGGATCCCGCATCGCCTACTCAAAAGCGCTTATACATCTTTTCTGATTATTTTGTTCGAGTTATAACGACTTCTTTGAATGCAACATGATATTTCTATTTTCAAATAATTTAAAATGTCATTTGTCGATATTTACTTTAACTAATGAGATACTTCACCAATTACAGTGTGATTTTGTACATTTGTTATCAATTTTTTAATAATTATATTTAAAATTTTTAATAATTATATTTAAAATATTTATTAAGAAAATAAATATGTTTTTGATTTTATGGAAGATATAAGATTTGATATATTTCTAACCTTATTATTTCCAATCTTATTAATATTTGATATATTTGTACTTGGCTCATATTTGGCTTTTTATTCTTAAAAAAAAAAAAATACCAAATTTAAAATACGTGTGTAAAAAAAAGAAATTTGCTTTTTTGTACTAAAAATTGTATAAATTCATATATTATTAAGAAATATTATTAGGCACGAAAAACCTCTTTGATCGAATATGGCATTTTACATTTATGTGTAAAAAAGAAAATTTATAATATATAAAATAATTTCAGAATGAAAATAGGATCAAAATTTTTGAAATTTTATAGCTAACATCGTCCGGTACCGTCCAATGCCATCGTTATATAATATATATCTCACGATAAATATAAAAAATTAATGTAAAATAATATTTAATAAATTAATAATATTAATATAATAATAATATAGAATAATATTATAATAATATGGAAT